CTAGAGGCGCCCCTATCGTGTGTCATATTTCAAACATTCAAATTAACAATTTTAATTCTTATTTAAATTAACAATATAAATTATTATTATTCATTTGGCCAATAAATTATTATTTGGTCAATATAACAATATAAATAATTCAGTATATTTTGTAATAGGAATTTATTATTTCAGGGGTTTATATCTCTTGAAGGGTCGCAAGTAGAGGTATGGTTCCTTTGACTTTATTGTTAGTACAGGGGTCTACGGTTTGGGGGGGTCGCCACCTCTTCATTTGGAGGGTAAATCTTACCATTCGGACTTTAACAGGGCTGTAGAGCATATTGGTAGGAACAAAAAAGTTAAAGGAACCGTGCCTCATGGAAATTTGTAAAGAATGCCCAGTAGGAGGCGTCCCGAGCTACTAGTATTAGCAATGAAACGCTCAGCAAAAAGTTTAGATATTCTCAACTCTGAACTAATGAACTGATCAAACACTTGCTGGAAGGAATTTCATATCCACTTCATAGCAGTTTGTATGCCAATGTAAACCTAGCTTTAGCCTTTTTAAACATTTATAATTAATAAATTCTTTAATATACTTAATTTCTGACTCATTATGCTATGATTTATCACTAAAAATCTGTCAATTTATTCACTGATATTGCTTTTTACATTTCAACATAATAAACATTAAAAAAAAATTTACTATTCTAAACTAAAAAATATATTAACTTTAAAGTTGAAACACCTTATTGAAATGTCTTAAAAACTGTTAGTATAGTAGACTGTCATATTTAAAAAATTAAATATATCATTATTATAATATTTTCCAAAGTAACAATGGAATCAATGGGCTGGATGTTGAATGTGTAATTATCAAGTGCAGTAAGAAATGAAACAGAACATAAGAAAACTCTCAAATGCAAACATCATGTCATGTAATGTTTTTCTTTTTTTAATAATCTAAAATTTCTTGCAAATATGTTCAAAATTTCAAATAAATTATAGCAGTAAACTTACTTTATAATTTTCTATTATATGTTTTGTATATATTATGTTCTAATTTGTAATGAAAACAAAGCTATTTTCTTTTGCATGTGCAGATTAATGAACATGGCTTCATTCTTATTCTGGGAAAGACTATAATCTCAAAAAGTCTGGGGCATATTAGTATTGATGCATTTCAAGAAATTAATAATATATATAAACAAATGAAAATAATGCTTTTTTTCTGGTGTCAATATTTAATAGCAAGTAAAAATATATAATATATCTCCATCTATATTGATCCTTTGATGTTGTGGCATATACTAATTATACAAAAATAATAAATAGTAACTTGTAATCTGACAAATTTTCTTCTTCAGTAAACTTATGGGCACAATCTAACAATGAACCATGCATGACAAGATTGTGACTATATGCTTCTCGTTGGTCTTTCATTCATCTTTGTCTACATAAATTGTCTTAGATCTCTGCATTGAACAACAGTCAGTCCAAGTCCTCAGCCTGATCCAGAAAGGTTGATCATAAAAATTTGTATGGTTGCATACCAATTTTTCTCCCTTAATCTTTCGTTTTTGTGTTACAGGTACCTGAAGTAAACATAGTAGTCTAAGAAGTGAAATATAGAAGCAGAAGAATCCAAAAGGAGAGTTAAGCCTAATGAACATTCACATAGAATGTTCAAACATGGGGAGGCTGCCCCTTCAAATAATACAGCCAATAAAGGGGCCGCTGGGAAAGTTGGGAGACATTGTTGAAGATGAACCTTGTCCTGGTTGTTCTGTTGAAGTCATGACCCAAGAAAAAATGAGCAAAGTCTACAATATCATTAAGCAGGACCAATGAATTACCACCTAAAAAGTAGCAGAGGAGCTGGACTTGTTGCCTACAACAGTTAAATGGATCATGCATGAACACTTGGAGATGACAAAGATATATCAGCATGTGGGAATTAAGATCAGGCATAGATGTTTTCCACATGTAGTTGTTATACTGTATATTTACTCCTCTTTTATTTAGTTTTATTTTCTAATCCTAAAAATATATTGCATATTTTATTTCTATTTAAGTAGACAAGCCTTTCTAATGATTGAGCCTATTATTGAAATTTTAGAAAATAATTCTAGAAAAACATTGTTTTATTATGTATAATGGTGGAATTAATGGAAACTAATATTCCAAAAAATGTTTAATTTGTGAATAAAAATAATAAATATTAATAATTACAATTGTTTTCAAAATTTTTCTGTTACAAATCTTTTTTGCAACTTACTTAACATTTTTTCTTAGATATTACTTATTAATAAAATATATATATTTACAAGATATATTTTTAAGTTTAGTAAAGTTTAGGTAGTTTCATAATAGTCAGGGGCTGAGCTAACTTTCTAGAGGTCTTGAAATTCAATTATTTTCAGGCCTTTTTTTAACATTTTTAAATAATAAATTTTATAAAAGTTAATATTTTTATCCCTTGTAGCTTTTCTCTAAATACTGTAAGCAATTTAGCCAAAAGAACTCATACTGACCTCTCCTTGTTTAAAAATTTCTCTGAAAATCCAATTATAAATTAGATTGCAATCAGATGTGTTTTATGAGTTTCATATTTTGAAAATCTTAAGTGGCCATATTGCAATTATTTTATAACTTTAAGAAGAAATTTCTAAATTGATATTGTTTTATACTTCTGTTACATTATGTCTTGTGGCCTCTAGAAGTTGGGACCACAGGCTCCAACTCTATTAGCTCTTATAGAGACATTACTAATCATAGTAGATGTGAAAATTTTAGGAAAAAAAAAAGCAAAATAATGGAAATAATGTATTCTACAGATAAAAGTTAAATTACAATTTTGTCTATTTGTTAACAAAGAGGTCTATTAAAGAAAATTATCAACTATACTTACTAATAAATAATTAACAGTTAACAATGGATCTTCTTCTGCAATATAACCTTCATGACAGTTTCTAAATTTAAATCCAACTACTTCACCTTTGACAAATGCAGTTCCATTTGCTATAGCTTTTTTCTGAAATGCACCCAAAAGTGAATGAGGATCAAACCTTCCCTCATTTTCTAAACCTAAGAAAATAAACAGATTTTTGTCATTAATTTATTATTACTCCTAAGATATTTTCAGATAATCTGCATTCTTTACTCACCAAGTGATCCTATTGCTATTCCATCAGTATTTAACCAAGGAAAATTTTCTTTTAACTGTTTTGCTGTTAATAATTCAACTTTTGCTCCTAAACCTCTACGATAATATACAAAAATAAATTAATATGAAAGCCTAAAAGTCTAAATTAGTTTTAAAAATTCTGCATATCTGAAACTAAAAATATAAGTCATTTTTTAAAAATATTTGTTCAAATATACATAGTCCATAAATTTAAATGTAAACGTAAAAATTCTTTACTGGATTACACTCCTATGGAGTGCATTGTAGTATTTTTGTTCCTCTTTCAGCCACATTTTTTAATCTACCTACATTAAATTCTAATTTACTGTAAAATATGTCATAACAAATATCATATAAACTCATACAGTATCTCAAGTGTATTCTTGAATTTTATAAATTGTGGACAATAATGTATTAATACAATTCTTTCTAATCAACTAAGATCTATTATTTTGCAACTGTTCCAATGCATATATAAATTTAATCACTCAATTTTTAATTATAATCATAATTATAGAGTTTATAATAAACTGCTTAGATACTGTATGTTGTATAAAGTTTTGAAGGTTATAATTTCATATCTGTGAAGTATCAAAGGGATTTTCTGATATTTCAAGCATTTATTAGAATCATATTTTTTTTGCATTCTCTTTTGATTACACCATTTTGTTCTTCTGTAGAAAGTAGGTTTCTATTCAATACTTAAACATTTCACGACAGTGAATGAGAATTTTATTCGTAAAACATTATGGCAACTTGTTTAAGGTGATTTAGTTTTGTATGTGATATTCTGTAGTATAGCAAAAGCATTTATTATTAGTGCTTAATGCACAATGTAGTCACCTTAATTGATTACAGTTTTGTAGTTTTATAGTATCTTAATGGTGAATTTAAGATGTCACAGGTTCTGAGACATACCTCTACTTCAGATGAGTAAAAATGAGCAAAAGTTGCATCTCAGAATCAAGGAAATATTAAATACAACAAAACCTTTAATTACCAGTAACAAATTAATGAAAATGAATGTTTTCAGCCTTCACCAAGGCCTGCATCAGGTTGTTTAACAAATTAATTAAAATGTTAATTTGTTACTGGTAAGTAAAGGTTTTGTTGAATTTGATCACTCCCAGTAATTCAGAAAGGAGATAGTTTTAACACAAGGAAATATTGCATATAGAAATTTTACATTTATCTGAAGCTTTACTATAAAACACCAGTGTATTAAATTGAAAAAACTCATAGTAATATTGTGCCCAAGTCCTGCCATATATCTGTAATGGTCAAGATTTAAAATTTTAAAGTGTGTTCTAAAGTTTTTTGGTGTAACAGTGATTTTCTTTTGCAGTTGTACTCAGCACTTAGTTCACATTAAACATTTCATACTGCAATCTGTATGAAGTTTTCATAATTATAGCCCATTAAAGGTAGACAAACAAATATCTTAAAAAATCCAGACAATTTAGTATATACACATGCATACATACAATAAAAATGAATAAATAAGATTTGTAATTTACTTCTGTAATCTGTTATTTTCTTTTATTTGTTCAACTCTATCTTCAGTTGCCAGAAAGAGATAACTGTTTGGTTGATACTGAATTTCAGGTGGATCTTCCCCTAAAAATATATAGCATCATATTTAATTATAAAATATTTAAATTTAATAAAAACAATTTGAAAAGGTTAAATTTTATTAATAGTTTTTTTGTTGCTTTATGAAGTATTACTCATGTAATTTTGAAATTAAAATAATTATTAGAGACTGTAAAATTACTTTAATTCTTGTAAATATTAGTCGTAATTGAATGCTATTTAATTTCTCAATTATTTTCAGTACTCTCTTTATTTGAACTTGAGGAATATGACCACATTATTCCTTGTTTTCCACCAATCATGAAGACTTGCAAGGTGTTTTGGAAAAATTCTATTTCATCTATTTACCTTACATGTTTCAGCCATCTGTGCAGTCCACCTCAAACTATAGTAGATAAAATGTGTGCATACATTAATACAAAATATTGCATTCTAACCAAAGGCTGAAACATATAATGTGAATAGTAGATGAACTAGACAATTCATGATCCATTGGTCACTTACTACTTAATTAAAATTTATAAAGAACAGATACTGTAATAGAAAATAGTAGTGTTTTATAAATGTGTAATACCTCTGCATATCTTGTTTTATACAGGGTAAGTCATAAGTCTCCATATAAATGGCAAAAGAGGTGACTAATGTTTATTTTATTCATAAAAATGGTATCATATGATGCCAACAGAATAATGTCAATCCATTCTTCCTTCGTTAGTGGCATTTATTTTCAATTAGTTCACCTTCCTGAAAATGAAAAAGAAATTAGTCACCGCTTTCACCATTTTGTATGGAGACTTATGACTTACCTTGTAGATTTCTCCTTGATATAAACCTCATATCATCTTGGACTTGAACTTTGGATCCAAGAAACAAGGTGAAAGCTGATGCTGTAACCTATAGCATGGAGAGCCTTTTTTGAAATATAGGCCAAACTGACACTATATGAATTCATATCATGTGCACATGGGAGGTAATGCTTGTACTCAGTTATTATAATTTGTTCTTATATTTTTATTATTATTTTTATGTATGTTTTACACATGTATCTTTGTAGTTTCATTTATTCATGACTTCAAAGGTCCATCTATCAACATGTGAAATATTTATTCTACAATGTTTTAAAATTTTTGTTATATTTGAATGCAACCGACATTTGATTTATATGGTAAGCATAGCTTAAACAACCTTTGTAGATCCAGAATGAAACCTTAACCACTCAACAGTGAAGGACAAATATATCTGTCCAGGGCGATCGTGTGGCAGTGGTGAGGAACGGATATATCTGTTAAATTCTTTTGAGGTATCGCCAAAAACTAGCCAAAATCTACTGTGAAAAAAATTCACATAAAAAATGAATTATGTAACAATAAAAGACTTTTCTTTACTAGACATAACTGTTTATGAAATCTTTTTCCGAAATGGTAATGAGAAAAAACATGTGGAAAAATACTTTAAAAATTTTGCATGTTTATTCTCCACTACTTTGGGGTACAACCATACCTGACTATCCCACTGCTGAAAGGTTAATTTAAAACATATATATATTGACTAATGTTTTTGATCAATACTGATCTTCATCAGGTCATTTATGTCCTATAAATGGAGTTCTATCCATTATACAATGTAAATGATTTGATGAACATCAGTGTTGATCAAAAATGTCACACAGTATATATTAGAGATGCCACGAATATTTGGCTACTATTCGGTATTTGGCTACTTTTTTTAATATTCAGTATTCAGCCGAATGTTGCATACTATTCGGCCGAATACCAAATCATGAAAAAAAAAAAAAACGCACATATTACTCAAAAATGTATTTATTTTAATCACAAA